CCACAAATAACAGCATGGTGAAGAGTCAGAGTAATTATTAAATTTTGTTTGCACGGCGACACAGCGTTTATACTGTACAACCTGCATAATATTACAAATGTTGCGTTATCAGTTTATCTTCGCCAAATTTCAGGGTGGTAACAAAAGCGAAAGTAGTTCTTGATTTTCCCGATCGAGCCTCGGTGTCACATACACTTCCACCTGCTGCCATAGCCGGCTTTTCGCGTGAAACGTACTCTCGGACGGGGAAAAGGTGAACGAATAATTATATCACAATCGCGACCTGCAAAAACGGAGTCGTTTACCGCGGCTAGGGTTCACTGAAAAGTCTTTCTGGCTTCATCACTCAGTATGCAGGCTAATTTACGATCGTTTCCCAAATTCTTACTACCTTCAAGGCAAATTTACTACTATTTACGACCTTTACGACCAGGGCGCCGAATTTACGACTTTACGACTTTGCTGGGCATAATTATAATTTATAACAACTAGCTACCATGGTCAGGCTCTTTGCTGCGACACGCAGAAGAATTTAATTTGATTCTAATGCGGAGAAGCTATTTTGGTGATCTTCTCTTCTTCGTTCTTTGTCTGCCGTACATACGTGAGGTGCTGGGGTGTCACAGGGAGGTAGTCTTCAGGTCTTGGCGAACTGGGAAGTCTCCTCGACCCCAAAATTGCAAGCTTTTAAGGTGCCCTTTACTCCCTGTTGTTGATATAGATCCAGGTCCTTCACTCCCTCAATCCAAATTTTCCGTAGTCTTTTCCTCACTCTGTAGCTGGGTTTCTTGTATTGTCGGCTTCTAAAGCAGGTTGGTTAATAGGGGCAAGCCAGTTAGATGATTTTAGTGAGTCTATCAGTCTATCTGTATGCTGGGATGTTGTATCCCACTCAACCCGAGTTAACCCTAACAAGCAGGGTTGGAGCACCCGCTCCCTAAATAGACTAGATTGTGTTGATGGGGGAGTAAAACATTTGCAATAAATCAACAACAAACGAAAAATCAAATCGCTATGGTAATAGGCTCACCTTTGGTGTACTCCTTCTCGGCACGGTCGTACTGCTGCAGAGAGGCGTACAGGTTGGCTCTGTTGAAGAAGATGTGGGCCGAGTAGGGGCTCAGCTTGGCCGCTGTCTTGAAGTCCTCCAGGGCCCCTTGTGTGTCATGGAGTAAGACCTGACACAGATTGTGGACAGGGGGCAGGGGGAGGGGTGTGCGTTGTTAGCATGGAGAAGCACATTGATTGTTTGTTTGTTTTTTTGTTTGTTTGTTTGTTTCTTTGTTTGGGTGAAAAGGAAAGCATTGGTCGTTTGTTTGTTGGAGGAAAATTAAACACATCAAAATAATAACAGCTATTTAGTGCAGACATAATGAAAAATTGACAAACAGAAACAATAGAAGAAATAAAAAGATATAGGAGCAACCATCAACCACTTGCACAAGGGGAGTTCAATTTTTTAAATAGTTTGAATAAAGAGAAACACGTCAACACAATAATGATCATTTAGTGTACAGCAAAAAAGCAAGATGAACAGATAGAAACAATAGACGGAGAGATATCAAGTAGGATGTACAAGTGGCACCCTTAACTCCACTTGCAGGGAGAGAGAATTGCAGTATTATCAATGCATACATTTTAACTCATTCGCTACGTATCATTTTCGGCTTGTGGACGAATTCTTTTCGGGAGGGCGAAATGAGATAATGACTAGTGCGCAGTTCACAGGTCTTTGGGGCCATAAATTCAAATAAATATCAACATATTATATGCCAACATTTTCAGTATGGTTTGTAGAATACATCTGCATTTTTTATTTGCGTATTTTTCAACTTTGGTTCCTGTAAGAGGCGATTATGCAACGCAATTGTGATTGGATGCGGATAAAATTGGAAAATAAAAAATTTATAATCTCAGGTGAAACTAAAAAAATATGTTTGCACCTAGTCAAATGATACCTCAAAATAACCATAACTGTATATAGAACAGGAAAATATTGAAAAATGTGCAGTTATTTACATACATTCCATAATATTTGTACATTAGGATCATAACATCCGATATTGAAAAAAAAAATTTTTTAAAATAATTTTGAAAAAAGGATCACAAACAGAAAAAAATACGCGTAACTTATATGGAATTATTATTCAGAATTGCATTTGGAATAAACCTATACATGTCTTGAGTGGTACTTTTTGATTAATTTCACCCAAAAGTAGTGATTTTGGGGAGAAAAAAATATTTTGACTATTTAGATCTAGGCCTAGATCTAGCACTCAAAAATATTGATTTCTCAATCACAGTGCACCGGCAATTTGCGTCCAATAGTATCAATATTATAAAGAAGAGTCCTACACTTCTTTAGTGAGCAAAATAATGATACATTTTGTTGAGTAAAAGTACTAAGACTGGTGTCTGGGCTATAATTTGGGCTTCGAGATAAAACAAAGTCGAATAAACTACGAAACCATGTTTCAAAACTGAATCAAAACTTCCGATTTTCAGTGGAAACGCTTGACCCGGAAGTCAACATTATATTATGACCTTTATTTTAACATGGATATGTGGATTGGAATAGAAACCAAACTAAAATTGAACGTCGGTTCTCGAGCCGCCGGGGGCGGCTTAGCGTACTGACGGCACTTGAGCCGCGCCGCCCCCCACGGCTCGGCGTAGCGAATGAGTTAAACGGCAATGACACTCAAAGAGCCCTGACAGGCCTGATTGGACGGCAGCAATCACAAAGGGCAGCAAACCATAGGTGGCTTCAGAAAACAAAAATGCCAAGAGGACAGCCCATAAGCTGCACATATCCACATATGGAAAGAAAGCTTTAAAATGGTCAAAATGTGGCAACATTTTATCACCAGAATGGGTCACATTAGCCATCACAGAAGATAAAAGTCATCTCAATTCTTATTTCATCTATTTTGCTTATTATAGATATTCTCCTTTTACTTTTAGTAAGTGTTTAACGGCACTTGCAACACAATAAGGTCCTATAAGTACCAAAGATTAGAGGTGTTACAAGAGAGTAACAAACACAACAAAGAAGGAGGGGAGATTAAGATGATAGACGTTTGATAGGAAAGTAGAAGTAAACCACACTAGAGCGCCCGCCAACCACCCACAGATATTCTCCTCTGCAGATGCATTGGTCATCATCAGACATTGCAATTAGCCAACATTTAAGCTTGAATGAAGGCTCAAGTGCCTGAGGACTTCACAACTTATTTTTACCCCAACACATCCTAAAAAACATTCTGGAACACTACCTTGGTGATAGCACTGTTGAGACAGGCAGACTCATCCTGGGGATTCAGTTCCTTGGCCTTACTGTAGTAGCTCAATGCCTGTCGGGGAGGTAATCACACTCGTTTGTGAGTTATAACATTAATCGATTCAACATATATTAGAGAATATTAGTTTGTTTGTTTGTTTGTTTGCTTGCTTGTTTGTTTGTTTGTTTGAGTCAAGAGCAGCATATTAACAATGGTCATAAAGTGCAGGGAAAAAGAAAGAAAGACAGAAACAACAGTGGCAAACAAGACAAATAGCAGGTTCAATAAGTAAAAACTCATATTAAAAAATCTCTGCAATCCTACCAGATAAGAGAAAAAGACTGCTATAAAGATGGTGAAAAGGCACAAAATTTTACAAATTCAAAATCAAAGTCAAAACACCACAACAACCTTTCATATGTTTAATTTCCATTTACCTAAAAAGTTACCAAAAATTACCCTATACACACATCTTAATTAAGACACACACATAAGCACCTGCCCACACAAACACAAATACAAGCACACCCACACACATCACCACAGCCACCACCCCCCGCCTCCCCCACTCGCACACAAAACAAACAGTTACCTGCTTGAAATGCCTAGTGTGGAAATAGATGTTTCCTGCATTGAAGTATGCCAGACTATATTTGGGATCCAGCTTGATGGCTCTCTGATAGTCCTGCATTGCCATCACACGCTCGCCCATAAACTGAAACAGTAGGTACATAAACAAATGAAAGAATAATAAATAAATACATAAATACATACATAAATAAATACTGTCGGACCTGTTTTAATGACCACCTGTCCAAGACAACTGCCTGTATAAATGACCAATTCCCACTTCTCCCTTTCACTTCTTTGGGTTTTAAAAAATATAATAACACTCTCGAGAGGACCAGCTGTTTAAGATGACCACTTTTCTAGATTCTCCTCGTCAATGGTGGTCATCTTGGACAGGTTTAACTGTACCATGTTTATTTATCCACATACATATGCAAATTAGTTTTTTGTTTGAAAAAAGAAAAGGTACATTAACACAACAGCAACCCTATTGTGCAGGGAAACAGTAAGAGAGACAGACGAAAATAACAGAGGAAATAACAAACAGGACCTACCAGCGTTGTCCTTCCCCCAAAGTGTCAGACTTATGACTGATAGGGAATTGTTCAAATTCCAGGTTTTGAAGGACATTTAGGCCTTAGGAAAGTTCTTAACCTTATTTTTCTTTGTCCACCTCGCAATAAAAGGGTACAAGGCAATTGGTAAAAGAAGAATATGTGAATGATAGATGTCATCTATAGTCCGGACAACACCAAATGGACAACTTGTCGACCTCATTACACCGGATCTAAGGGGCGAATGTCTCTGATTTTTTGCATGCACCTCAGACTTAGTTTCTGCGTAATGAGGTCGACAAGTTGTCCATTTGGTGTTGTCCGGACTATAACAGGCAGCAACGCTGTATTTTCTCTCTGAGCTGACAGGGTAGATTAGATAAACTGGTGGGCTAAAGGATAGGTTGCTACTTCTAGAGAACCTCCCGTCAAAGGGAGATGTAGAGCAGTGAATGATCACTTCAGTACCCATAAGAAATACCACTAGTATTACATTCACCTAAGTGAAGATAGCAACACTTGCCTAGCAAGTGCCATTAGTATTACATTCACCTAATTAAACATTATAAACCTTTCACTAAAACTGTTACTTGGCTCATCTGATCAAACATTGCAACAATTTCCAAACAAACACCATCAGTATTTTGTTTACTTGATTAAACAGATACATATCCAAAGATATGATGTACACCTTATTACTTAGATATCTATTTATTTATTTACTAATTTATCTATTATCTATCTACTTTAGTGGTATATTACAACACAAGTCACTTAGTTCACCTGATTAACTCATTCTCTATCTTGAGTGCAAAACGCAGCTTGCTCAGTTCTCAGTTTGTTTTATTTTCGTAATCAAACAGACTGATAGGAAATTCGATTTAATGCATTTTGATTTTAAAAAACACCATTCTGGAGTTTCTCTAACAAAAATTAGAAAAATATAGTTTGTCTGACTATTTCTTCTTGTGTGTTTCTGTGAGTGCACATGACCTTTATGACACCACTGCCACTTTAAACGACCAAGACAAATTTCTCCCTACGAGACAAAGAAAGTTTGTCCTTTTCATTGTCAATCAGAAGTGAAAAAATCGCCACCAAAACAGCTTGGCCACAGTGAGGAAAACGGTCTGTCTGACTAGTGATGAAAGAGTCAAACACTAAAACACTTTTCTATCAACAGTCACTTGTCTCACCTGATTAATGACCCCTCTGTTGGTGAGTAGCTCAGCCGTAGCCCCGTAGTTGATGGACTGGCTGATGTCTTGTAGTGCGGCAAACGTGCTGCTCATCTGGAGGTTCACGATGGCTCGTCCCTCCAGTGCTGGTTTGTAGCCTGTGGGGAAAGGAGGATTTTATGAATAAACTACAGAAGCAGTAAAAAGCTGGATCACTTGAGAAATTTCAGAGTATAGCTGTAGATCAATGTTTGTCAGCCTTAATGTAGCGAGCTAAAATTTTCATAACGTCCATCTGCATGTATTTCCTAGCCGTGCATTCAGTAATTTCTGTCACTACACAGGTGATCCCATCCCCAACTAACAAGTTTACTAAATCACTCACTTGTAAGCGATATCTCCAAGATTGTCTAGCACAAGTGTACGTGAAGCCTAAAAAATGACACAAGAAACATGCACTGAATGTATCTTATCGAAATATCATTATCTTTACCTTAATATATCTCCATCTTATCTGATCTTATCTCATCTTATCTGGGTCAGTAAATTTACTTAAATTTACCTTAAGGGTGGTGGTAAAATTACTCCAAGCCAACATGAAATTATCCGATCAGACTTTTTTCTTATCTTATCTTATTCTATCTTACCTTATCTAGACAGGTCAACTTACTTGGTTTGACCTCTATGGCAGCAGTGAAATGCCTCCAGGCCTGCATGAGTTTCCCGGAGACCTGAGCCGTGTACGCCAGGTTGATGCGGGCCGGCAGACAGAGAGGGTCAAGGCGCAGCGCCCTCTGGTAGTCGCGACGAGCAAACTCCAAGCCCCGCTGGTGGCCGTAATCCATGAAGACATTGCCACGGGCAATGAGGCCGTCCAGGAAGAACGGTTTGAGCTGCAGGCACTGGGTGAAGGTTGCCACGGCATCTTTGAGACGGTTCAGTCTGACCGGGAAGTGAGAGAGAAGACAGGATGTATATATTGATTGAAAGTATTAAGAGATAGATAATTGATAGAGAGTAAAAGTTTTCCACCGCCATTGATACAAATTAGATTATGCATGAGTTAGATTGCTTTCATCTTGTCTGTCAGAGCCAAGCTGTGATGAGTGTGGTATACAGCATCCCAGCACACAAGACGGAGAAACTCAGTACAATAACTTCTACACCTGGGAATCAAACTCACATCTTCAGCACACAATGGTGAAGAACTTAACCGTGACATCACATACACCTGCATGTGAGAGTGAGTAAGTAAGTAACGCAGAGGGTGCAAAATGGGTAACTCTCATATAACCACGCAACAATTCATCAAGCCGCTAAAGAAGCTGGAAAGACTTGTTAAGTTTGTTTAAATTGCTGTCATTTGTACAAAGATACTGCAACTTTTAAGCATATCACAACGTTGATGTTAGGCTAAAATATAGTACTATTGAGTACTATTACTGCTTTACGTCTTTCACCTCATCTAACATACTAACTTATGATAACAGAGTCCAAGGGTGTGGTGAATTCTGTGATCCGATGGGCTGAGTTTGACCGCAGCCTGGAAGTCGAACAATGCATTCATGTAGTCCTGTTTCTCAAAATACAGCAGACCCCTGTTGATGAGGACCTGGAGAAGAATCAAACCATGGCAGGTCAGATTTTGCTGTCTCTGTTATGTTGCAACTTTTCAGGAATCCAGTGCTGTGCATATAACCCTAAGAACTTCATAATCTAAGAAAAAACAACAACTGCAAAAAGATGTTGAAACCACATTGATATGTTTGGCTTTATTTTAAGAGACACATCCCTTGTGTTGCTCCTTTGTGTCAGTCAAAGTTGCAAGGAACAGAGCACAAAAGACACTGATGTAAACACATTACAGCTCAAAGTTATAAAAGGAAACGGAAACATAATCAATACCCAACAATCTAAAAGATCTCCACAGCACTTTTACTGGCGTTACTTTAGCTAGAGTCGTCTACCTTAAGTCCCAGCATGTTCCCTAGTAACAAAACGATGCCATAGTCTGTCAGTGCCTTGTTGTGCTGGCCACTCTCATGGTAGCAAACAGCACGGTTGAAGTACGGCAGCGGGCACTGGGTGTCAATAGCAGCGGCCCGGGACAAGTCCAAGATGGCCAGCTCATAAGCCTTGATGTGGTACTTCAAGGACCCTCTGAGGACAAGAAGAGGAATCACAATGTACAGACAGTTATATCCATCCTGGGAGGAACCACAGTCTACAAATGTGAGGCAGCATGGTGAAATCAGGCACTCGTCTAGTGAAATCAAAGAAACCAGCATTTTTTACTCGAGAGAGTGAGGAAGAAGAAGAGCTGAAGGGGAGCAGGAATATTCAGTATCTTATGTTGTCCTGTCTGATGAATCTCCAACCAGCATCTAAATGAAACTATAAGTAGACAGACTTGAAGATAGATCCAGAGCAGAAGGGGGAGCAGCAAGGGTCATGAACGGTCTGCGATGATCCCAACCTTGTAGACAAATAGGCAGTACAAATAGTCCATTTTTCTTAACAGCAGCAGTTGGCTGACGGCTGGCGACAAAAAATACTTTCTCAAACAATGAAGTGAAAAGAAATCGCTCATTTAATCAAAATTCCTTATTATGTAAGCTCAGCTATCATTGCGACGGAATCTCTAGCTTTTCAAAGCATTGCATATATTGTTCAAGACATCTCATTTGATATTTCCAAGTTCAAAAAAAGAAGAAAAAAAATTAAGCAAAACTAGAAACCATAAATTGTTGACTGACCTGTACAAGAAAGCTCGCACACTTTTGGGCTGTAGTTTGATGGCCTCGTTACAGTTGAGGATGGCCTTAGCATACTTGCCCTTCATGCCGTAGTAGCAGGCTCGACTCAGGTATGCCTGGAAGAAAAAACATCAGCCTGATCTGAGAACACAGGACATCTCAATGACCCATTTCAGGAAGCCCATATGCCACACAATCCATTTTTACAGGACAATACAAAAAAAATTATTTATGTCCCTAGCTCTAAAGGGTTGTATACAGATTCTATGCTATTGCTGTTATAAGTAGTTGATTATAAAATTTTAAAAAGATGGAAAAAAAACATATGGTGGAGACGTAACATATGTTTCTGACAAAGGAAAAGGTAAGTCATTTTTTTAATTGACCAGAAGAAACTATCAGCAAGACCAGGCATCTGAAAAGACCACCGAAGAATCAAAACAAGGGGAGAATAATCAGTCTCGTCCACATTCGCCATCTCCTAATACAAACTCCACTATTTAAAAAACACAAAACAATACGTTAAATCACAACATCACTCTAGTCATGGCATCTAATGGTGAGGATTATAATAAAAATCTTTTTCTTCTCCATCGCATTAGACTTGAAGATTCGTGCATACTGTTACATACTGGTGAGTTCCTCTGTCGGCCTATACAGCTTCTCCTCTAGTGTTAATGGGGTTGGTCATGTTTTATGTCTTAGGGCCTTATGTGTCCTGCACTGCTGGAGGATGTGTTCCATAGTTTGGTCTACTTCTCCACACTGACAATTTGGTGATTGTATTAGTTTAAAACTTCTGTACACACAATGTTTGAGTCTAGTAGGCTGTGTACCTTATCTGAAGATAATCTCTTGCTTTTGGTAAAACCGCTCTTGACAGTTATGTGGTAAAAAAATCGTGCTTTGAGAAGCAAATCAGAGTTGCGCACAGGTTGACCTGCCTTCACAACCTAACCTCATTTTCACAAGCAAGACTAGTTCAATAAGCCCACACTACTTTTATATCTTCCATTTCCTTTATTACTCTTGCTGAGCAAACCAGATCTCCCATTCCCCAAGCCATCCTGCCTTGTGCAGGTCAACACTAGGACAACTTTTAATCAACTACCTGGAATATCTTTGGGTTCAAAGCCAAGGCCCTGTTGAAGTCCTGTATTCCTTTCATTTGTCGCATCTTGACGGCTGCCAGTCCGCGCTGATAGTATGCCTGGAAGAGAGACAATGATAAGGAAATATTAGTCTTTTCAATATAGATGTACATGTCTACCATCAACTGAGAAGTACCCCCCCCCAAAAAAATAAAGAAATCTGGGTGGTATCAAAGACATCATGTAACCCCTATCAGCATAAGAGAAAAGACAGAGCAGAGATAATAATGATAGATGTTTGATAGGAAAGAAGGAGCAAACCACACCTGAGTACCTGCAAGCAACCAATAAGGACATTTAGCGAACCAAACTCAAACCGACAAACATTTTGAAATCAGACAAAGTCTGTGGAGACAGCTAGTGAGGCAGGATCAATGGACAAATAGCACAAGGAGTTGAGCGAAATAACAAGAGGACAAACAAAATTCTTAAGTCAGACAAACACTAACACACACACACATTAAAAAAAACTCACATCAGAATAGCTCGGGTTGAACTTGATGGCAAAGTTGAACTGCATCAAAGCCTCGCTGTAGTTACGCAGTTCCATATGACATAGCCCTGACAGATAGTGGGCATCAGCTGCCTCCGCTGGCCATGGGTCGCGCTTTTTCCATGGACGCTGTGCGCAGAGGGGAACAAACATCAGCCAACGAAAGAAACGGAAATTCAAGAGGAAAGCATTATAATAAAAGTTTTGAGACCTACTTACAATGATTAAATGGCTGTGATGTTAACTAATGTATCACCTCTTCTTTCACTCAAACTAGTCAGTCACACATTTCCTCAACTTTCACTCTATCCTATTTTTCCTTTTTTTTCCTTTTTCCTTTTCTATTAGATGAACTTATTTTTCTATTTTGTTCACTCTAATTATATTTTCACTTCTGATAACAACATTTTTTTGTTTTATTCCAAGATGGTTTCTCCCTTCTTTTTTCCAATACAATTTCTATCTTCTATTACTCCAACAAAATTTTCCTTTTCTTTAGCTCCAACATATACTCTGTCGTCGTCAAAAGAAAAATGAGCAACTATGTTTGACCCTGCTTTACAAAGTGATGAATAAGGAATTGATGTCTGTGGTGTGACAGTTAGGCACTTCACTGTCACATGTAGGAAACCCAAGTTCAATTCTCAAGTGGAGCAAAACATTTTATAGAGTATCTTGGCCTTTCTGTTGGGATGCTGAATCCCTTTCAGCCCAGGTCCTTACAGGCACGGTCAGAAGTATGTCTCCTAAATTATCTGAATTGTGTCAATGGTGGCGATAAAATACTTCCATTTTTGGGGGGTCAAATCTTCCTTGAGACAGTAACACTTCCCTCTCTTTCACTCCAACTCATTCATCCTCCTCTTCCCTCAATCATAGACACTGTGACTACCACGAGGAGACCGTTGAACATCTTCTCCTTCACAGCCCAAACCTGGCAGTTCTTCGACGCAGGCTCTACACACACCTACAGACTTACGAAGCCTGCTCTACTCTGGTGTTGACCAGATGACAAGGACATGTAGTTACTTGAGGGAGGCATTGCGCTGCCAAGAGCGAAATGCTCGCAGCTAAAGGGATTTGAAAACAACAACAACAACCCTCCATCATGTTATGCTTACCATTTTCTCCAGGGCCTGCTTGAAGCTGGACACGGCCTCCTTGAACTGTTTAGCCTTCATGTGAGTCTTCCCCAGCAACATGAAGTACGGGGCAATAGGCTTGAGGCGAGAAGCTTGTTGAAGGGCATCAACAGCCTGGGGGAGGGGGAGGAGGGGACGAGGGGGGAGGATGGGGAGAAGTGGGGAGGAAGGAGGAGGTGGAGGGAGCGGATAGGGGAAGGGAGGGAGTAGGAGGAGGTAGAGGGAGGATGGGGAGGGGAGGTGGTAAGGGGAGAAGGGAGGATGTGAGAGGAAGAGAGAATTTATGGTCAGAGGTATAGACTTGTATATGTCTGGGTGTGTTAGAGTGTGCAAAGGGGAGAGGGGGGTTTTGTAAGTGTATATAAGTGTATATGAGCGCACATGTTTGTTTATATATGTCAGTAAGCTTTTGAGAGTATGTGTGCAAATTTAAGAGTAAGCAGGTACATAAATGCAAGCATGTGTTCAAGCTAACACAGAGGTGTGTACCAATGTCCATGAGTTGAAAAAAAAGCAATTCTACACATACCGCCCCCCAAAAAGTTGTAAAATTTAAACACACACACACACACACACACACACACACACACACACACACACACACACACACACACACACACACACACACACACACACAAAGTTGAAAGCAAGTAAAAGAAAAAAAGTTTTGTTCCACAAACCACTGGCATCAGCCAAAGTTATCTCTCTGTCGCTCACCTTTTCATAATTCTTCAAGAATGACTGCACCACGGCCTGCTGCGTGGGAGAACCTCCGAATGTGTTGGTCGGGTTGTCCATGCCCAGCTCTGACGCATGTCGCACGCAGAAACCAGCCAGGTCCAAGTGACCCAGTTCCAAGACAAGTTGACCCTAGACATAATAATAATAATAATAATAATAATAATGATGATGATGATGATGATGACGACAATGACTGATAACAAATTGCATTTATATTGCCTAATTTCATTTTGATGAGATGCTCAATTCTCTCTCTCTCTCTCTCTCTCTCTCTCTCTCTCTCTCTCTCTCTCTCTCTCTCTCTCTCTCTCTCTCTCTTTTTTCTCTCCCTATCTTCCCTGGATGTACTTTTCCCCTCTCTCTTTCTCTTCTCTCCTTCTCTCTCTTTCTCTTCTTTTCCCATGTCCTTTCTCTAGTTTTACTAACAATACATTGATCAAGACCATAAGAAAACTTTTTTAATGTCTCAGCAAAACGCTACTATTTTATCTGCTTTTTTAAAATTGCCAGGGAACTCAAGTCTATAACATATCTCAGTAAATCGTTCACATCAAAAGACCAAAATACAAAAAGGAAAGAAAAAACACTCCCCATAAAATTTGTAGTTCATTAATAGGTAGACAAAACTTGTTTTATCACTGAACTATCTAAGACTTCTTTCTAGTACATAATTTTGTAGTGTTGGAGAGATAGACTGGTGCAATATTTTAAAATATTTTTAACAGAAGACACAAACTTAGTACAAGATATTGCTTTTACTGGCAGCCACTGTAGGATTGGGGTGGTGCGGGTTCTTTTCTTCTTTGTAAAAGCCTATACCTCGCACGCCACACAAGTAAGATGAGAAACCACAGTGAGAGGTTATATAGACCAACAGTATTAAAATGTGGTCTAACCAAGCTAAAACCCTTCCCCCTTTTCATAAGTGTCGCTAAGTTAAATGATTTCCCTTTCTGTTCATAGTAAATACTGGTCTGACATTTATGCATTCGGCCAAATATTATCTACTAAACAGATATTGGGCTTACCCTATACATATAATAATGATGAACATCAGGCCGTAGATGAATGGCTCTTGTAAAGTCCTTCAAGGCATTCTTCACCTGAAAATATTAAAATGAAATGACTTCAGAGCTGTGACACATAAAATACAAATTCTCACTGAAAACAGCTCAGGGCAAACTGTACAATAGCAATATAATATCTACGGCCTGAGACATTAAAATTCACAGGAGCGGCAGTTGCCCAGTTCATATTGTGCTGGATGAAGGTGAAAATGACCCTAAATCAAATCAGATGTAGTCATGAATTTGAGTCGCTTGGATTCTCCAGCCACTTGGTCTAGTAGCATCAATTGAATTAATATAATAATTGCATCTATATATAGCGCATATCGATGATCTACAGCATTCTTTATGCCTTTTACAACTGCCATTACCCAAGAAGACCAAATAATACTCAGCTTCCTGGGAAGCATACAGCGCAAGCAGCTAATTAAGCACTAACACATAAACAAACTGACAAGATATTTTGCGATCTATAGTTGGGTGCCCATTCCCACCTGGGTGAGTGAGGAAAACTAGTGTAAAATGCCTTTCTCTAACGGAATTTAAACTCAGGACTATTCAGTTGTAAGCCCAACGGCCAATGCTAGAGCTCCTGACATATAAAGTGTAAAACCTGTACGTGAGCAGAGTAAGCCTGATTCCCTGTATGGACATCTCTGTTGACATCCATCCCTTGGTGCTCAAATGACCTTTTGCAGTTGTGAGCGTTGTAAAAACTCTACTGAAACTAAAAAACCTGTACCACACCACACCAAAGTCATTCCAGACTGCACAAAATTATTCTGTACATTTGAGAACAAAGAGAAAATATTTTTATCAAAGTAGAATACAGCTAGTTATGACAAATGTAATTTTAAAAAGTCCCTATACGATTGACAGCTGACATATTATGTCTTATTCTCTTCCTATTCCTTTCAGGCAATTATGAAAATTTTGAGGTAAAGATAAGAGATAGAAATATGAGAAATAGCTGACTTAATTACGATAAAGATAGTAGGCATGACAACTCATTACCCAAGAATAAGTGTTCACAGTTAAAAGCTAAAATATAGATGTCACCACAGGTACTTTTGTTCTGTTTTACAAATAGAAGTTCTCTTACAACAATTTTTTATACTACTTTTAGTATACAGGATGAATTACTACAAGAATATAGCATCCTGCAGTTTAAAAGAAAACAACAGATGACGTCCCAGATTGAAGATGTTTTTTTCCATAAGATAAAATGGAGGAATGGCTCATCTTAACAATAATCTATGGGAGAAGTAACATTTAGAAAGGAAGTATAAAACGACACTTGATTGAGTTTAAGTTGAGAAAAGAAACAAAAGTCAGGCATTGGGTAGGACTCACCTCATGAATCTTGTGGTATGCTTCAGCTCGACAGACATAAGCCCTCACATATGTTGGGTCCACCTTGATCGCCGACGAGAATTTCTTAATTGCTCTGTGAAAACAATTCCGTACAAGAGAAAGGAGTTTTAGATAAGCAAAGAGAAGCACGTGGACACAATAATGCTCACTTAGTGTGGAGGGAAAAGTAAGACAGAAAGACAGAAAATATACTGTAACTGTGCAGAAATAACAAGAAGTAAGACTTACCAATCGTTTTCTGCAACAACTTGATGAAACGAAGACAAATGAACAAGGATGTGAAGAGTTAAAGGATAATGAAAGCCTATGAGAACGGTTCACTGACAAAAGGGAAGGTATGGGAAAGACTCACTGACAAAAGTGAAGGTATACGAATGACCCACTGGAGGACTCACGGACAGTTGTGAAGGTATGAGAATGACTAACAGACAAACGGGAATGTATGAGAAAGAGCAAAACATACCTGTGGTAGTTGAGATGTTTGGTCATGTAGATAAGTCCCAAGTTGACATGAGCTGCAGCAATTTCCTTGTTCAGTTTCAACACACTCTCAAAGTCTGGAATAGCATCTTCTGGCCTAGGATGGGGGTGGGGGAGGGTGGGGAGGGCGGGGCGGAGAGAATAGCAGAGAGATGGATACTATGGCATGGTACAGTATGGGTTTAATCCCCTTCCAATATTGAAAGGTTAATTAAAGGGTCGGACTTCTGATTTAACATTCGAGTAGAAAATGCTTGAGTGTGCTCAACCTGTACTCCTTTGCACACCATGCACATGCCTCACTGTTCGATAACGCAAATCTTGAAGAGAACCTAGTACCCAAAAACAAACAGAACAGATATAAACTATAGAGGGAAAGAAAAGAAGTCACTGTGACACTACCCCTTCCCTTCCCTCCATCAACTGCATTCTGCCTCACAGCTCACAATCAATGGACTCTCCACAACAGAAACCACAGACAGATAAAGCTCTTCTTGAACATTATGTACCACTGGACAAAGTTGGCTACTCACTTGCCCAGAGTATTGTACAAAATCCCGCGGTGCAGATAGGACATGACATTCTCCTCTGAGTCATTCAGCAGAAGGGACACGCTGTAGTCTTGTAGAGCTCTTTTTGGGTGAGCTCTAGGGAGTTCACATACAAAAGGACATTCAATAGGAGATAAAAACAGATACAAAGTTATTCACTTAGTTTCTAATAATTACTCCTCAACTTCCCTGATTCATTTTATCAGACATCATCAGACATCATCAGACATCATCATCATCAACCTCATCATCATCATCATCATCAACCTCATCATCATCATCATCATCTTCATCATCATCAGCCACAGCTGAAGTAGCAGTTACAAATTCTGCAGCATGACATTTAAAACAGTACCATCAGCAGCAGCAAAATCAGCAGCAGCAACAGTAGCAGCAAAGAATCAACAATATGCGAGACAGCATGGTGAAATCAGGCATTCGTCAAAGTAATCAAAGTGAAGAAACTGGTATTTTTCCGCGGGTTTGTGAATTTTTATCAAATTTTCGTTTTTTGGCTCAACACCTTCCATGCCCATTAAAGAACATGTTTCTGTGTGGATTTTACAGAAAAACGTTGATTAAATGCACAAAAAATATAAATTTTCACGGACTCTCAAGCTAAGGAAAGAACTCATCTTTGGCGGCCATTTTCTCACTAATTCTACCTCTGAAACCAGGTGATACCAACCTCCTTCATTCGCAGATATCTGGACTTTTATTCAAGATAAATGGATATTTTTTAAAATCTCAAGCAAGATAAATGAACAAACTTTAATATGATACCAATAACACTACATGCCTAAAAATCGACAAGCACCTGATTTCATTGCGTTGTGCCAAATATCTTTGCATCTCCTTCGTTATCCATTCTAGCATCATCGTCTACATCCTCTTTCAGTCATCACCATTATTTTTTTTACAACTTGTTGCCAACATATGGCACATGTAAAATGATGAGGACACAGGACAAAAAAAGATCTATTAAAACAAAAGTAAAGAGTGCACCCATAATTAATATTACATATTACTTGACCTGTTTTAGTTTTAGTAGAGGTTTACGGCGCTCGCAACTGCATAAGGTCATAAGATTGCCAGAAGATTAGAGGTGTTACAAGAGAGTAACAAACATAAAAAAGAAGAAGGGGAGATAGGGATGATAGATGTTTGATAGGAAAGAAGAAGCAAACCACATCAGAGCACCCACCAACCACCAACTGACCTACTTTGTTAATCTCAAGTTTTTCTTTATCTGAAACCCGCATTTTGTATCTTTAAAAAATTACATTGCTGATCTCATCTTTAGAGAAGCTGGACCTCCTAAATGACCTACACTGTGTCACAGAGAGCGCAAAACATTTATAATCATTTACAATAAAAAGTACATCAAATTTCGAAGCATGTCCAAAATGAACCACAGAAAGCATAATATAAAAAGGCATGCTTATCCCTCACTTTCTGAGAATGCAGGCCCTCTGGTAGAAAGACTGCCAGTTGAAGGGGTCCAGGTGTATAGCAGCACTCAGGTCCTCCACAGCCGGGACCCAGTTGTTCATCTTAGCATACGCTCGTCCACGGAACAGGTGGGCGGTCGCGTTCAGCGGATCAACTTTGAGCAGTTCCGTGAAGTCGTTGATGGCATTTTGCCAGACCCTGGTGGGAGGTGGAAAGGTTGTGGATGTAGAGGGGGAGGTGGATGGGAGAGGGAGGTGGAGGGGAGAGAGGGAGGGAGGTGGAGGGAGGAGGTGGAGGGAGAAGGTGGAGGGGGAGGGAGAAGGTGGAGGGAG